AGAAGTTTAATGATGCCAGCTGAAAGTTTATCCCGGATGAAATGACAGTCGATTTCAATGTATTTTGTCTGCTCGTGAAAGATAGGATTAGTTGCAATGTGAATTGCTGCCAGATTATCACAATAGACAATGGCAGGAGAAGTAACTGGAATCTGAAAGTCCAGCAATAGCTGTTTGATCCAAAGGATCTCACTAACAGTAGTTGTTATTGCTTTGTACTCGGCTTCAGCTGATGAACTAGAAATAGTGGCCTACCTTTTAGATTTCCAAAAACCAAAGAATCACCAAAAAAAACGCAAAAGCCAGTGGTAGACCGTCGTGTATCAATGCAAGACTCCCAATCCGCATCAGAGAAAGCCCGAATTCTGATGTTGGAAACAGAACCAGGAGGTAGATGTGAAGAGAAAATGAGACCTTGACTAGGCCGCCCTTTAAATAACGAAGGAGGTGATGCATTGCTTTGAGGTGAGGCATCCGGGGTTGGGACATATATTGACTTAACCTGTGAACGGCAAACGTAATGTCAGGTTGTGAAAGAGTCAAGTAAATTAGTCTCCCAATGAGCTTTCTGTAGTGTGAGGCATCAGTAAGCAGGTCACCATGATGTATGCTGAGAGTTGCTCTAGGATCCATGGGGTTGTTCACATGCTTACAATCCAAATAGCCAACGTCTTCCAGAAGTTGTAGAGCATATTGGCTCTGAGAGATGACAGTGCCTGAATCTGCACAAGCAATTTCAATCCCCAAAAAATACTTAAAGGATCCAAGATCTTTGAGTTTAAACTGTGAATGTAAGAAAGCTTTTAATGAATAAATGACAGCAATGTTAGGTCCTATAATTACAATGGCATCCACATAAACTAACAGGGCTACAAACATTTCCTCTGAGCCTTTGGTGAAAAGTGAGTAATCCGATTTAGACTGAGTAAAGCCATGTTGAATGAGAGTATGAGAAAATTTGGAGTTCCACTGTCTGGAGGCCAGCTTGAGGCTATAGATAGACTTGTGTAATCGATATACCATTTTCTCCCGCTGTGGAACTGGTTTATGGAATTCATAGCCAAATGGGAGATCCATATAAACCTCTTCAAACAAGTCCCCATTCAAGAAGGCGTTGTTAACATCTAATTTTACCAACTGCCACTTATGGCATGCTGCAAGGGTAAGCAAAATTTTAACTGTCACTATTTTGGCCACGGGTGAAAAGGTGTCAAAATAGTCGAGTCTCTCTTATTGGGTATAACCTTTCGCAACAAGCCGTGCTTTGTGTCTCTCAAGGAAGCCATCAGAATTATATTCGTTTTTAAAAATCCATCAACAACCAACTGAATGCATGCCAGGTGGTAAAGGAACAACTGACCAGGTGTGGTTAAGTTCCATAGCTTTTAGCTCAAGTTTCATAGCATCTCTCCAATGAGGAATTTTAACAGCCCGATGAAAAAATTGTGGTTCGAATTGGGAAGATATATTTAAGATGAAATTTAGATGGGTAGGAGATAGATGCTCATAAGAAACAAAATGTTTTATGTGATGAGGGGAGTAATGATTAGATTGATCACAGTGAGTAAGTAAATGACAATGAAAGTCTCTAAGGTAAGTGGGATGTCTGGGAATTCTTCTGGACCTTCGAAGGTTGGTTTTTGGAGGGGCTGTAGGAAGAGGGTCATCTGGAGGAAGAGTAGTATCTGAGATTCCAGTAGGTGGAGGTAAATCGAAAGGAATGGATAAAGAAGCAGATGGTAAAACCAAGTCAGGAAAAGGATCCATCAAATGATCAGCTTCCAAGATTGTATGGAAAGGGAAGATATTTTCATGAAAAACAACATCTCTTGAAATGAAGATATGTTTTGATGCAATATCGAGGAGTTTAAAACCTTTAACACCAGATGGATAACCCAAAAAGACACATAATTTAGCACGAGGTTGAAATTTGTTTCTATGAGCAGTAAGTGAGGAGGCAAAAACCAAACAACCAAATACTTTGAGGATTGAGTAATTAGCTGAATGACCATGTAAAATCTCATATGGAGTTTTATGTTGTAAGAGAGGAGATAGAGTCATGTTGATTAAGTAGACAGCTGTTAACACACACTTGGACTAGAATTTAAGAGGAACTCTTGATTGGAAAAATAGAGCACGTGCAACATTTAAAAGGTGTTAGTGTTTGCGTTCGACTACCGAATTCTGTTGTGGTCTTTCTACGCAGCTAAACTGATGAACCACACCTTTTGTGGCGAAATAATCTTTGAAAGACAGTTCAGGAGCATTGTCTGATCTAAAAATTTTAATGACAGCATTGTATTGGGTGGCAACCAGATTAAAAAATCGAGGTACAACAGTCTTGGCATCAGACTTATGCTGCAACATATATAGCCATGTGAATCTAGAGCAATCATCAACTAGATTTAAGAAGTATCTATATCCGGAATGTGATCGAATGTGATAAGGGCCTCATATGTCACAATGTACTAGATCAAAAGGTCTGCTAGAGAGGTGATTGTTGGATTCAAAAGATAACCGTCTTTGCTTAGCAAGAGGACATATATAACAAGACATATTTTTATTTAACTTGGTTGTATAACATAGTAAATGATCCCTCAATGCATCTAGTATTTTGAACGATAGATGCCCAAGGCGATTATGCCATACATGAGCAGAAACACTATCAATAAAAATATCAAAAATGAATTTGAGATCCCTGGTATCCAGCACATATAGATCATGAACCTTATCACCCATGCCAATCATTCACTTGGTTAAAGTCTCTTGAATTGTGAATTGATCATGAAAGAAACTTACAGTGAGTTGTAATCCAACAGTTAAGGCACTGACTGAGATTAAATTAAACTTGAAATGTGGTACAAAGAGGACATCATGGAGCATCAGGTTGGGGCCTAAACAGATGTCACCACACAAATTGACAGGTATCTGAGAGTGATCAAGCAAAGTAATGCTTGAATCATGAATAACTCACAAATTAACAAAAGCATCAGCAATGAAGCACACATGTTTAGATGCTCCAGAATCCACAATCCAAACGTTTTTGGAAGTAAAAGTTAGATTAATTGAACGAGAATGGCATATACCTACAGCATATGAGGATACATTTTTGTCATGATCAACAGAATTGCAGTTTGAACTAGAAGACGGATGAGTGGATAACATCGTCATCAATTGCTGATATTGACTAGAGTTCAAATTCTGCATAAATTTCCCAATGCTAGACTGCTGACAATGCTGATCCATTGATTTTTTCTCAATCTGTGGAGTCAAAGAAGCAGAGAAGTGATTAACATGAGTAGTTTTATGAAAGCTTTGAAAATTGTCTTTTGGCCTTGATTTATAACCCAGTGGATAACCATGAACTTTATAGCATTTATCCACAGAATGTCCATGATATTAGCAATGTGTACAATATGGTCTTTCCCTTATCTTGGTGCCATTCATGTAATTAACAGCCACATGTCCAGAAGACAGTGCTCATTTGCCATTATCAGACTTGAATCCAATACTAGTTTCTCCATTCGAATCAACACCAATTGACAGTGAGCCGAGCTTCTTTAATTCTCCTCTTGTGAAATTAATGCAAACACTGTATTCACAGGTGGTAGTGGATCCATAAGAAGTATTTGACCTTGAGCTTGGGAAAATGATTCATTCAATCCCATGAGAAAAGACAGAATATATTTCATCTGGTAATGTTTGTTCAATTCCTTAACACCATCACACGTACACAGCTACAATTGGGTCGAAAATTACTCAATTCTTCCCATATTGATTTGAGTTTGGTGAAGTAGGCACTCACAGTGTTTTGGCCTTGAACTAAATTCATGAGTTCTTTCCTCGAATTGAAAATTCGAGGTCCATTACTTT